ATTATTTATTTTCAACTCCAAATTCTAACAAATAAATTTTTTGCTGATATTTTTAAAAGTTCCGGATTTTGTAAAAAAATTATCAAAGATGACAATTATTTTTATTCAGTGGAAATTGTGAATCCGTATTTATATTTGGTAGAATAATTCATTTAACTACAAATTTGTCTTTAATAATAAACTTCTTCACTTATAATATTAATTTGCTCTATTTTATGTTTGCGCGCTATCTGTTAAGAGCTCAAATTTTCGATGTTTTAGGAATTATAATTCAAAAAAATCTACTACTGTTGGAAATTCGGCATGTTTTGTTTCTTTTAGTTTGCTATTACATTTATAAAATTAATTATCTGACACTGGCAATTGTTGATTCCGATAGATCGCGAGATAAAAGATTGTCCAGTACATCGCACATTGCGCTAATATCTTGTTCCAGAGCTTCCGCTTTGGCTTGTGCAGGAGGCAAATTAGCTTTGTTTTCCTTCAAAGCTCCTTCCACCTAAATTAATTAGTAAAGTTAAACAAAGCAAAAGTCACGAAAGTTTCATAAACTACCAGTATATTTTGCTTATGATGAGAATTTAAAAGAATTTTTAACACTGATTTTGATGACATTAAAGAAGTCTCTTAGCTGAACCAAAATTTCCAATTCATATTTTGATCGAGAGAAAAAGAGGAACAAAAGTAATGACAGCACCTGATTTGCCAAATCAACTACCCCATCCAAACTACCCAAGGCATCGTGAACATCAAGTTCCATACGACCGCTGCTTGCCAAACGACGGCCCTCCTCGACTGCTGCTTTCAATCTCTCCGTATAATCAATGAGCCACTCGTCAACATCCTAAAATAACAAATGCTTTATACATTAACTGTTTACGTGAAAAAAAGAAGATAGAGCAAATTCGATTAGAGTGGCAATAAAATAAAAAATAGCCTAAATTTGGATTCCTCTCGTATCACTCGTTGTTAGCTGAACTACTGCTACAGTAATTAATTTTCCTGATAGTATTTTTACAAACCTGAACACGTCGCGACCATTCACTAACGGAGGAAACCGGAAAACGATCAAAATCGAGGTAATCATTAGCAATTTTGTATAAATCATGCAATAAACTGATTTGATCACGAAAACCTCCTCCAATTGTATCATGACGTAGTTGTGGCGGTGCTGGACCGGAAGGTGAACTGCTTCGTGCTTTCTGACATTTTTTCTCCATTTCATTCCAACGCTTCTCCACCTGAGATAAATATCCCCCGAATAAATTAATTTTCTAATAAAAAATTTACTTCAAATATTCAATTAATTTGAATAAGCTTATTTTATATTCCTCCTGTTGCAGGTGGAATATAAAATAAGCTTAAAAGATAGATATGAAATATTATCCCTAACAAATGCAAAGGACCATACATTGAAAGAAAATATAAACAATCTTTCATTTTTATAATTTTCAAGTTAATCTAATATTTCATTCAAGTTCATAACAAAAGTATTTTGTTTTGGGAAAAAAAATCAACTTCCGAAAGGACCGCTGAAAATTTTGTTTCCGCTTCCGGATCTGATCTTAGCAATCGACGGTACCGTTCGATGAAAACATTTTTATCCGATCTGCACCTGTCTAATGCAGCCAATAACATCTACAACATTTATATATGTAAATGACTTGTAGCTCTTTGATTTTTACACGCAACACACCCACACATACATACATACACACATACGTACACACATACGTACACACACATACATACACATACATACAACATAAAAGAGTTAGCGGAGTGAAAATTTGAGTTGGCAGTTTTAGTTGTCAAACGCTCGTTCAGCAAACTTTTCTTTATGCAAAAAGCGGATCGATGAAAATGAAAAACTCTCTAACATCAGCATTTTCAATTTGTTCCATTTCTGTCAACGATTCCTTTAGTTGGCTATGCAAAGTTTCAAATTTTTGCAGGAGTGCGATATTGTCCTCACTGACACACTGAAAATAACAAGAAATCGTGAGATCAGATCATCGTTTGGTGAAGAGAGGTACTGTTTATCTTCACATTTCAGTTAACTTTAACACATATACCAAATATTGCAGACATTTCTTTCACCTATATTGGTCAGTAATGATAGAGAGAATTTGCAACAAACTTTTTTCAATTCGATTGAAAAAAGTTTGTTGCAAATTGAAAACTATTCATTAAATGGCTAATCTTTGTTAAAAGAAGTCTGAAGTAATGAATATCAGAAGTGTGTTTAAATTAAAACTTTTGAAATATGCGAGATTAAAGAGGAAAAAATTTTATAACAATCAAAAAAGAACATTCCTTCCATTTCCTTTCAGCTATTTTTATGAGAAATGTAAGATAACAATGAAACCTTCGATATTTGAACTATTCAGTTTTTAAAATTCAAAAAGACATCCAAATTAGATCAAAATTAATAAGATAAGAACTCGACAAAAATTTCAAAAAGATTAAAAATTTCACTTTAATAGCATCAATCCATGATCGCAAATCGCCTTGCAAGCGTGAAGCTCGACGTTTCCGTTGTTCTATAATGCTTTCATCAACTTTGAATGAATCCATTGCTAATTGTTGCATGACATTTTCAGCCTTCGATAACAATAACGCACCTCTGAATTCAAAAGAATAAATTAGACGATTACTTCAGCATAAAATATTCATTATCCTTTTATGCAAAGAATGCTTACATATTAAGATCTTCCAATAATTCTTCCAAAGTTGATCGATCCGCATCTGCCGTTTCTATATTTTCTGATCGGACAAAAGCATTCAGTCTCGATTCTACACTCTCAAATACTGCATCCAATTTTTTCATATCATGATTTAAGGCATCCAGTGATGTTACACAATTTTGCATGCGTTCCACCATTTCGGTATTCTTTAAAAGTTTTAAATTTAATATAAAAAATGAACACGTAAGTTCTGATACCATTAAATAAAATTATTTATCGAAATTTCAAGAAAAGAGAAAAGACATACAAAATCAAAAACTTTATCTTATGTTGTGAATTACTGATCAATCGAGATTATGTGGAATGTTAACATTGAGAAAAATTGATATTGCGAAATGGTACAAGCGATGATTAGGAGACCGAAATATGGAAGGATTCCAGGTAAGTTCAAGACTGATATACAGAAAAAATTTAGGCAATTATTTAACTTAAAGCAAAGCAATTCAAATTGTGATTAAAACAAACTCTTGCACCCAAATTTTTCAGTTTCTCGTCTAATTTGCTAACTTTCTGGTCCAAAACTTCTGCAGCAATTGGCGTCAAAATTTGTTCCTTTGCAAACATTTTTCCAGATTCAGCTAATTCTTCCAAATGCGTTCTTGCCTGAACAGATTATCCTTAAAAAATTTACACAAATAATTTATTTCTTCAAAGACATAAAGAAACAAAATATGACAAATGTAAAATAAGATGCTGGAATTGACGATAATTTAATTACTGATAACGATTACAAATGATAATGGAGAATCACTCAGTCCCGGTGAAATTTATCAATTGTTTATAATTAAATTAAATAGGTGTAGTAGTAGTATATCAAGTTAAACATTTATCAATTCTTCATTACTTACAATTAGAAAGCATAACTGCTAAGTTACAACAACTAAATACAGATTGACTCTGAAAATACAGTTCCAATTCTCATAATCGGTCTAGCAAAAAAAAAGAAAAAAAACTAAACCATAGCAAGTCGTCTAGCAATTTCATTAGTATGATCCAAAGCTTGTTTACAGCTTTCCGCTTGTACACCAGTCAATTCATCAACACTATTTTCCATATCCGATATTTCTCGAGACAATCTTTCAGCTCGTTCTTCCAAACCAATTGGCTGCTTGAATTCAACAAACCGTGCCATCAAATCTTCGAACTGATTCTGTAAAAGAAAAAAAAAACCATTTTTGCAAAAAATTTCTAAATATAAATGGGAATGGAGCATTAATAGGCAAATAAAGATACAATTAGATGTGTTAAGGTTTTTTGTGAAGTTTTTTTTTTTTTTTTTTTTTTTAAATATGATCATTTCATTTCGCCTCATTTGTCTGAATGAAATAAAATGGCAACAATTTGATAAATGGCAAAATGGAAAGCCCAAAATTTAACAACTAACTGGCAATCCCAAGGATGGATTGATAGATAGAAAACATAATAGTAAAGAATAAAATCCTAAGATCAAATTCAGCCATATTTTTTGGCTCCTCTAACAAATCACTTAATTTGTAATCAATCCATTTTAGATAGGAGACATAAAAGTTATTAAATTGAAATAAAAGAGAAATCAATCAATTAATAAATATCGGTTGGGAAAAAAGATGGCAACTAAAGAATAATGAATGAATAATAATTTATGGTTGAGCGACTGAATAAAAAAAAATAAAACAAAGAGCTTTTTGGCATTTTCTTCCACATTCTCATTAATAAAAGAGATCCAATTTATGCTTTTTCTCCATCATTTTCAAATGCATATATGTGCTAATTTCTTCAAGTTTAAAATGTTTTTTATGTCAAATCATTCTAAAAAGATTTTTTTTCTTTGATGAATTTACAAGAAAATGCAAAAATGTTTTTGAAAATGTCTAAAATAAAGAAATTTTAAAGTTAAGCGGAAATATCCGATCTACTATTCAGTCTTTATGTGGTTGTGATGGGTTACTACAAATAAAAGATTACTGAGAAGTTTGGAATAAAAATTAATTACTATTCAATAACTTAGAATGAGAAAATAATAATCTGTGAAAGGCATTATTATATTCAATTTGGGGTATTACTTCAACAGATGGAATTTATCTACTGCAAAATGGAAATTATTTTTTAAAAAAAATTAAAATATAAAATGAATTGTAGGAGTTACAGTAATATGATCCAGCTGTAATTGTAACCGATTTGGTGTACCCCAATCACTGGTATTTTTGACAACGAATTCTCGTAGATCTCGAATGCAATACTCGAAATCATCGAATTCTTTTTGAAGTTGCTGAAATTTGAAAAGGATGTTTGTATAGAATGAGTTGATATATACATGTATGTGTGTGTATGTGTGTATGTGTGTATGTTTTCTTTTCTTCTTTAGATAAAATTTAGAAAAATCACTGCTAAAATGAATCGTCCATTCCGCTTTTCCTTGAGTCAGTCTTTTCAAAACAGTGCATTTCTCTTTCCATTTGTATGCACGCAAATAAATTTTCGATATTTTTTTTCAATTTTAAAATTTGGGCGAACACAAATATGCTGCAATAAAGCAAGGAAAAAATTGGCTAAATAGACTGCTTGAAAAGAAAAAGCGAGAAAAGATGAAATGCCTAAAGAGAAGTGCTTCTGAACTCACCGCAATAAGCGTCCCATTTGAAAAAGCATTCTGAAATGAACAGTTTTCAACTATTGTATTTCAAAAAAAGACATGAAAAATTGATGATAGACTGGCAAAAAAATTGGAACAAATTTATGGGAATGATAAAAGAAACAAAATGGAAAGCAAATGCTGCCATAAAAAATGATAATAGCAAAAGCAATTAGGGATTTTTTAAATATTTTTTTAAAAAATTTTGAATCATATAATTTCTTAAATTTTAGTATTCTGTTGAAAAATATTTAACTTTCAAGTAAATTTCTTCAAAGTATCATTCTATCTAGCTGTTCAGATTAGTTAAATTTTAAGAGCTTACATTACCGATAAGGTTACATCATTGCAATTGTATTAGTTATGCGCAAACTGCTATTGTAAGAAACTGCTATTAGCCATTTAGAGATTATTGGTGAAATGACTTTAAAAATTTGAAAAATTAGAAGAATATCTTTTAACATTCGAAATTTCAGCTATTAATAGTATAGCACAGTGTGTAAGCAACATTGAAAAGCTTCATTATATATGCATTATACTCGAAAAGATGAAAGGTTAAAGAACAAGCTTAAGTTTTTTCGTGAGGTACAAGCAGAAGCTAGTAGAATGAACATCAATCGATTCCGCCATCCATGTTATATTTTTCACTGAATTGGAACCCACATTTCTGATAAATATTTTACACAAATTTCTAATTAACTTCTCATCGCAGCGCACGCTTTATATTCCATCAAAGTCACCTCAGTTTACCTACTTATTCCCAATTAATTGTTGAAATCTTATTTTCAACATTATATGTGATGATAATCGATAGAAACATTCGTATTTCACGTATATCACGTTATACGATTAAGTTAAGTGCACATGCAAATAACTAACTTACTTGAATTAGCAGTTTAATAACTGTAGAATTCACTCAGTTGAAGTTAATTTTGATTTATTATGTAATATATTCAGAACAAACAGCTGAACTTTTCAGAATTCCTTTGTAGCAGATAAAAAAACAAATTCATATATGAAATAAATTGTTTTTATAAATACCATATTATTTAAAATTTTGTGATTAAAGAAAAAATACACTTAATTTTTCGCGCATTTCAAACTTTATCTCATTTATAAATTGAATATGAATAAAAAGAAATAATAAAAGTTTACAAAGAGCTAAATTAATGCTGACCTTATATTCATGAGGTACATCCAAGGCGGAAACATCATTTGCAGCTCGACATGACAGTATCAATTGCACGTGATTGCACCAAGCTTGACATTCAGTTAAGGAACTATCAAATTGCTCACAACTATGAATGGCTGCCTCAAGTTCTTCGATACGTTCTTTTGCTTGCACCAATACATCATGACGTTGTTCACGTACGTGAACAAGCTAAAAATAAACAATTTGATTGAATTTTATAATACTTCCTTCATCATATTAATAGTTTTTCTCTTCTTTTCATATCTTTACATTTACTTATTAATTTGTAATATCTTTTTTCCCCATTTTTGATCTTTCCATTAGCAATTTTTAAAAGAAATGGAAAAAAGCTAACATCTCTTCCCATTCGTTCATTTATTCTCGATAAGTCTTCTAATTCTTTGTCAGCCGTTTCCATTGCTTCACATAAATGTTCCAAATTCTAAAATGAATGAGAAATTTTCGACGAAGCATTTTTTCATTATTGTCAAAATTAGTGATAATAAAAACTCGAACATATAAATGTTCGCTGAATTCTTCGGCATCGGTTGCATCACGACTTGCATTGATTGCACGTCGAAGCTCATCTAAATTTCGTTGAAATTCTCGCATCGCACCTATAAACAACAAAGACTAAATTACAACTACAAGTATAAAATTAACATAGATTATAAAAAAGTTTTAATTCAAATCCGATATTGATTACTCTTTGAAATGGATCCTTATTTTGGTTTATGATTTTGCGAAATACACATAAATATCCAAAATTAAAGACAAACACTTGTAAATAATTGTTCATGTTGGATTTTTAAAATAAAGCAATTTGAGAATCTCATCGATTAGAATAAGTGAATTGAAATAAATCATTCATTAGCCAGCATTATAAGCTTCTTTCAGAGTTATGCAGGGAAGTTATATAAACCAATGATCATCACCGTGGGCACTTCCAATTATTGAATTCCGGTTGGCTCACGCTTTATTTTCGTTTTTTAATTTCACTCCCTTTTTCTATCACAATGATTTCATTTCATACCGCTGAATGATTTATTGGAAAATATAAGTTATTATAATTTAGGTAAGCTAACTCAAAGTGCTACTGTTCACAAATTTCTCCAATTTCGTTTTAGATAGACAATTTAGAGACATACTTTGCTGGAGTCGTTTACTTTCTTTTTCCAGTAATGCTATACTTTCATCGATATCATCTTCTAAGGTACTCCAACCAGCAACAGTTAATTGCATCCGATTTTTTAACTTTTGGAAGATTCGATCACGACTGGACGCTGAACTATTGAGCGTTATTAACATTATTTCTTCATTCAGAGCTACCGATTCTTTCTGAATTGTTAGGCCTTTTTGGATATCCTTTTGCAGTTCCTAAAAAGCTATGTGATGCAGAATTAGGAAATTGCGGAATAATTCTGATTGACAAATGAAGAAGAAATAAATTAGCAATGTTGGAATAAATCATTTATTGCCCAGCACTGTAAGTTTCTTTTACAGAATCATAGTCACTCTTAATAATTTCAAAAAATTTGGTTCCTAAAGAGTCAAAACGTACCTACCAAATTTAATGTTCTCAATTTATACTGATTCTTTACGACATCAAAGAATTACACAACTTTTACAGTTGTATAAATAGTAAGGTGGAAGTAAAAATAGTAAACAAATTGCGAAATAAACAGCGAATTAATTATTCATTACTCAATTTGTTTATTAATTAAAAAACATGACTATCCTTTATTGTTCACCTATACTCATATCTCATTTAGCTGACTGAAATTAAAAATGTTTGAATTACTAATTGGAAAACATAGAGAGACAAACCGTGAACTGTTTGTATAGCTCAGTTACTTCAAGCTTTGCGCTTTTCAGAGCGGCAAATCGATCCGTTAATGCGGAGAGCATATTTTCAGATGCGGTTATCATTTCATCATTCCGATGGCTTCTTTCTAAATAATCCGCGAGACTGGCACGTTTGGCATTGCCTAACTTTTCCAGCTGCTCCACTTTTGGATCCTTTAGATTTAAATTTCCCAACTCTTTGAGTAATTCCTAAACAAATCAATTTTGCCAATTTTAATTCATTATAGGAATATACCTTAGCTTTGAAATTTTAACTTTCATATTTCATTATGATGTTTGAACTCTGAGAAAAAAACAAATTATTGTTATTTCTATCATTTAAAATGAAAAAATAAGGTAATTAGAAAAAGTTTCAATAAAATACTCACATCACAACGTTCAAGTTCGGTAATTAACGTGTTGATATCACCGGCACATGGAAATGTGGAACGTAGGTAATTCTCGAAACGTTCAATAACTGGATTTTTTTCCATCAGTTTCTCCACTGATTCTTTCAACTCCTCCAAACGTTTCTTTAAATCTCCAATCTGAAATAAAATGAAAAATAATGCGTTGTACATTGCAGTAATTCGAAAGATTAAGTTAAAAAATGAACATTACAAAATTTAATTCGAAATTAATTGACATATATCTTTCTTGAATCTCAGAAGCTGTAAACATTGAAATGCAATCATAAAGAGAGAATATTATCAGATGAATCAAACAGGTCAACAAAAGAATCAAACAAGTTGACAAACGATTCATCTGTTGAATCAAACCGTTCATGGAATGAGTCGAACTTTGAAGACTGTCGTAATGAGGCTTTTAAAGATACCTGCACATTAATATGCTAAATAAGCAATCACCATTCATTAATAGGAGAATCGTTGTGCCAAATGACATTGACCTGACTAGTCCTAGAGCTTTTCTCGTCAATTTTTTAAACTATAACCTGTTCTATCTATACGCTGATATAAATTTTGCCTTTATTTGGCAAATTACAATACTTTCCATTTCACTTTTAGTATTCCCTTCAATTAGAAAAATTCATTTTGAAAAAAATTAGAAAAGATGGAAAACCAACTCACTTGTTCTTTATCAGAATAATTCGCTTCTAGAAATCTAATATTTTTATCCTGTTCTCGTAGTTGTTTTTGTAATTTGGCCACACGTTCCTCACGTTCACTTAACGGTATTTGAGCGCAATTTGAAACAACATTCTTGGATTTTTCAAAAAATTCGGTTAATTGTTTTACTATTCGTTCCATTTCCTCATCGTTTTCAGCTGAAAAAAAAGAAAAAATGAAAAAATTAACCAAAATAGTAGAAAAATTAGTTTTTTTTAAATTTCAGCATTTTCCATTTTGTGGAAAAGTAATTGCTCCAAATTTTAGACTTTTTTTCTTCCACAATTTCAGATTACTTGCAAGATTCAGAACAATTAATTATCAACCACAAACCTTCAGTTGAGATACCTTGCATTGATAGGGAATTTAATAAATCTGATATTTTGGTAACAATATTGGACCAAATTTGAGTGAAATTTTGAAATGAATCGTTTGCAAGTTGTAATTGAGAAGGAGAAATATCCAAATTATGAATTCGATCCAATTCTGCATGCAATGCATTTACTTCTGCTTCTTTTTCCTTAATTTCCTTCAACTTATCCTACAAAAAAGTATGAAATAAATTTTAGGCTTAACATCTATTTGTTATAAATTGTAGGATAATTTTACTTTAACACGATTACTGACTACTTAAAATTCAAAAGTGATAGGTTATAAATGTGATATGCTATGTTTTAAATAATATATTTTTTAAAAATTAAATTACCTGACAAATTTGTATGATATTTTGGAGTTCATTCGGATTTCGAGTGATTTTAATTTGATATGACCATTCAAGTAATGGTTGCAATTCCTCACCAGTTCGATTTACATTTGCAATGAAAGCATCAACTGGTGAAATTATTGTATTGATCGAAGGAGTTGACGAGGAAGAAACCGTCGGATCGAGTGTTTCGTGCGAGGTAAACTGTACCGTCGACTGCAAAAAGATAGTGCAAATGTCAGATCCTTTATGTTATGCTGATTTTTAGTTCAGTATGTATACATAAAGTTCAATGGAAACAAACAATTAATGATGTCATCCAAATCTGACATAATTATCTCATTAATAAAGTTAGTGCTAAATTAAACATAAAATTTCATTTTGATGATGTCATAAATATAAGTTTTTTTCGTCTAATTATAATTGAGGTTGGATCATTCTGAAACTGAGATATCTAACTCAATCGCATATCATAGCTAATATCTAATTTCATAATTAATTGTACAGTTTTAATGCATCTAAAATTGAAAGAATCAAATAATTTTTATAAACCTATCCATTTCTTGTTTTATTTTAAATTTCATGAAATAAGTTTCGATTTTTTATTAAAAGTTCATTTCTAGGTGAGTCACAACAATTCAACTTACCAGTAATTTATTTTCTGGCTGATTGTCCATCTCCAGAAAACGATATTTATCGGTGTCAACAGCACCATAATTCTTTTCATTACCATCATCGGGTCGAAGCTGTCGTGCTTCTGCTTTTCCACTTTTCACTAGCTGAATGAATTTAACAAAATAAATTACAATAATATTAAAAATTTCTTTTCTAATCAATTTTCACATTTCTGAAATGTTAAAATTATAGCCCAAACAACTTGGTAAGCAATAAAAAAATATGAGGAAAAAATAAATGAACAGATAATTTTTATTTAAATACCGGAAATGGTAATAATTGAGAATTAAAAGTAAATTTACGTCCTTTTTCCTCATTTTTCAGGAAAAATAATTGAGAATGGAACAAACCATATGGGAGTGTTCATCAATTCGAGCAACGATATTATCCCAACGTTCGGTTACCGTTTCAATTTGCTGTCGAATTTGATTAGCATCTGCTTTATTCGAACTATCAAGTTTATCGATCAATTCAACGGCAAGTTGTGAAAGGTGAACAAAATCAGGATGACCTTTCTGAAGGGCAGATCCGAATTTCTGTATTCGACACACTTGATCGACTATTTCATTTTCCTCCTTTAATTCATCTATAGCCCGTAAGCTTTCCATATCCTGTGATGAGAAGCAATTTAACAAATCAGATAGGTTGAAAAAATAACAATTTCAGTTAAATGCAACTTAATGATTCACAAAACTAAAAAATTAAGAATCGAAATGAAAATAAGAAACTTGAAAGTGATATAAATTCAAAAATCAGTCCACGGAGAAGATATTTTGTGATAATTGATAAAGTGATATTCACTACAAGTTATTATTTTGAGATTATTGTATTGTCAATGATCAAAAACATAAATTCTGCCCTCTATTAGTATTTTGAAATCGATTCTTGATTGATGAAGAATGAAAAAAAGATTTTAAGATTTACAAAATTCATACTGTCACTTATTCTCTAATTCTTCAATGGCTGGATAGAAACAAAAACATGATGGAATATATTTTCCGAACTTTAAGTTACGTAAAAAACTGACAGTTAAAAATTCTAACGAATAAAAGAAAACAATCTATCGAACAGCTAAACAGTGCTTTAATTTTGTTCTTAAATGAAAAAGGCAAAAAAGTTTTTATAAATTATAATTAAATAGTTGAATTCGTTTGGAAATATTTCATCTGTGCAAGAACGGGGATTTGCAAATAATTTCAATTACGGTTTAAATCATCAATCACTGATCTTATTAATAGTCATAATTTGCAATTATTTTGGATAACATTTAAAAGCTAATGAATTATAGGATTTTGCATATTTCGTTTTTGTCTCAAATTGTTTCTCGTTAGCGACAAGTGCGCCTTTTAATAAATTGGCATATATTTCTTCAAATGATAAGTATAATAATTTACGTAATATTTACGTAACAAAATATATGAGTAAACATAAATGAAATGCTTCTTACTCTTTATTGAAAATTACTTTGTCTGGTATTTTATTATCATTAAAGGTAAAATATATAAGTATTAAAATAAGCAATGAAAATATTCATTTGTAATGAAGCAAATGGACAGAATTTTGGAAGGATTGAATTAATTAGAAACTGAATAATTGGAAGTTTTGAGAAGAGTAAAATAATAATAACTTTAGCACTTTTTATCAATGTTTTCAATGTTCCAATCCAGACAATTAAATAGCCCACGTACTAATTTGATACGCAAGAATGATTAAAATAAAACGTCAGCGTGCAAATGTTTCATATTTAATAACCGGAAACATTCAATTATCTAACTTAGTATTTTAGAATTCATGGAATGTAATTGATTGACGAGAAAACTGTCAGAAATGATTAAAAATGTAATGCATACGAAATAACTAGTAGTTAGGAGAGCCGATGAACTTTTAAATGTTTAGAAAGAAGAATCATCAATAAATGTGAAATGAAAAAGATATATACAGAGATTGCATCACGTCATTTAACACATCAATCATTGAAATCTGTTTCTCGAAATCATTAACTTTCCATTTTAATTTTCAAAATTAATTTCATTTATTTTATAATAATTAACCTATGAGATAAGAAAAGCAAAAAAAAATTAAAAAAACTGAGCATATGAAAATGTAATTCACTGTCGTCTTTCCGGTTAAATAATAAAGATAATTCTGGAAAGCTTTAACGATTTTAGTTTTATCAGAGGATATAGGCAAAACGATGAAAAAGAAAACGAATTCATTTTAACTCACTTCTTTCCAATTATCAAGCCATCCCAAAATCTTCCGATAAGCTGAATTGTATTGAGGGATCAATTCTGATAAACCATTTAATTGTCGTGCACGCATTTCAGCCCATTCACAGACACTCATCCATCTGCAAAAATTTTTCTGAGAAAATGAAAATTTAACTGTTAAAATATTTCAATATAATGTTGCAAGTATGTAAAAAAGGACAAAAATTTTTTGTAATTTAAGAGAAGAATTTCAATTGTAAAGATTTTTCTCTAAAAAATATGAACAATTTTTTAATTTGATAATTTCTTTTCCCATCATTTCAATTCTTTAAACTTTTGAAAAAAAGAAAGTTTTGTTCTCAAAGTGACAAGAAGGCAATGTTTTCAACAATCCTTTAGAAAATTTTAAGCATTTGCCAAGCGAATTAAAAACAAAGGAACAAAAAGCTAAAATGACAAATAACCTTTCTCCAACAGATTGTAATAATTTCTCCAAATTTTCATATGAAAAATGAGAATCTGATTCATCCACCACAGCTACAAATGTTGATAAGCCGCGAACGATCTACAATTGCTGCATTGTTTTAAGTAATTATGAAAATTTAAAAAATGAAACGATATATTATTTATCTATTCCTCATATCTCTTCCTTCTTGTTGCATAAGATTTGGAAACAGTTTTCTGAAACTTGATAATACATTCAACGAAAAAATTTTAGATAAGAAAATCTAAATTCATTAAATTCATTAGAACCAATAAATCTGCAGGAATGAAAAGAGTATGATCTTACAACAGGCGGATGGACTAAACATTCATTAATTTTGGTTTAAAGTTCTTCCTCGTATTTCTTAGTTCTAGCTCTTTTTAAAATAGTGCTTACACAGTGAAATTTTATCCAAATTACCGAAAGACTGTCTTATATTTTCTCCCTTATAACAATTCGACTAAAAAATATTGAAAATTTTGAATCCTCTGGACTGGTTTTGATAAGTTTAAATTAAAGTTATTAAATATGAAATAGAAAATTTAGGAAATCAGAGAGTTTTTGTTGGGGAGAAATTTCAGCAACAGAAATATATGCATGTAATGATAAATGACACTGTCCAAGAGTGTTGGCTGAGAAGCATTCAGTTCTTTTTCTCCTCACATTCATTGTTTTTTTTTCTTCACTCTTTTCATTTAATAAAGGAAAAATTAAATAAAAAGTTTTGAAAGCAAAAATTCTGAAATAAATGAAATTTTTTCCCTAAATCCAACAATAGCGTACAAATTACTGCCAGGAAATTTCACTATGGATAACCAATGAAAAAGTAATTCAGCCAAATATAAAATTGTTCGCAAAGAAGAAATTTCAAAATGTTCAAAAATGTTTCACATTATCGATTCATTTATTTCTCTCAGTGAAAAGAGCAAAACAGTATTAGGCTAAAATAAGAGTTAGAATTTGTTGAATTATCGTTCTAATATTTAATAGGAAACTTTAAAATTCAACTAATAACAATATGAAATGCTAAGTTTAAAATATTGATAAAAAGTTGCCAAATGAAACAACTAATCATCAAAGAGTAAATACAGTCTAATGAATGAATCAATATGCCTGAACATATACTATCAAATATACTTTCATTTTAGAAAATAGTTTGTTATATTCAAAGAAAGGGACAGGACAGAGAATGGCACTTCATCCTTAAATCAAAATTTCAATAGAACTATTTTTCATTTGTAAGTTAAATTTCTCGAATAATGCACAAAAGTATAGATAAGTTAGATTTGTATTAAAATGTACGGATCGAATTTTGGAACAGTTTAACTGAAGGAGTTAAGATTCAATTTCTTTCGTCTCAAAACTTTATCTTACTATAAATTTAGCACTTGGACAAATTTATTTGATAATGCTTGTATTCAATTTAATTTTCATTTCAGTTGCTTAAATGTAGCCTGCATGTGGCGTATGATAATTCTAATTTCAACTGGAAATAATCGAAAAGTAATTTTTCGGAAATCGGTAATTTATTCTTCTTCTGTTTAAGGAGAAATAAATCATCAAAAAAAATGATGCACCGTAAAAGAAATTTGGCCCACGATATTTGTTGCTAAAGAATTTTTTGTAACACAATCATAAACGAATTACTTTAACTTTGAAGGAAATTAAAAAGAGTATAGAAGAGTGGCGAAACACGTCTCACGTTTTCAAATCATTTTCACGAAACATATAACCAATGCGTACACACCCACATGCACACACACATGTTCACACACATATACACACACACACACACACATACACAATGAGAGGAAGAGAGCAAAGACCTAACCATACTCATTTTCGTCGATTAACATCACCCAATGACTTTTTTCAATTTACCGGAAAAATTTCTCTTCCATTTATTCATGGATATTGATACTTAGCAATTCGTAAAATTGTTTGGTTCAATGACCTCCGTATACAATCTCAATGACCGTTTTACATTCTCAGTTACCAATAGGATATGAAATGCGCTAAATTGAAATATTCGATAGTTATTTTTCATATATATATTTCCTCTCTTTTTTTTACACTTTTAACTCTTTTGTTATACTATAATTGGTGTAGGATTATATATTTTATATTTAAATTTAATTATTATTCTAACATTTAAAAAGTTGTTGTCGCATATTGTACTGGAGGTAAAGCACAACAATTAAAGGTAGTCACCAGTTCAATTTCTTATCTTATGATATACCTATATCTTTTATATTTTAATTGAAAAAAAAGATGTTTAATAAATCTGACTTGAACCGCTTCAAAATTATTAAATCTCTTCTATTTAATGAGGGAATAATTTATTGCAAGTTTTTATTCTTCAACTTTTTGTCTATTTTCACTTGAATAAAATTTATATGCAATGAAATTAGTAACTTAATTGAAAACATCTAACTTACTTTTTGCTCATTTTCGATGCATTCTTGAATTGATGTATGAGCATCAATTAATTGTCTAATTTCCTCTTGATTTATTGTTAGAGGTGGCGCATTTTTGATTTCTTCTTCCATGCTATCCAACCATTTCCTGAAAAATAAAATTCTCTCTTCAAGAATTGAAAACAAAATAAAATATCAGAAATGAGCAGAAAAACTGTCGAAAATTATTTCGATATTCAATGATAAATTACGCTGTCAAATGTAGTTTATCACTAAATATCGAAATAATTATAATGCGACGTTATTACAATTTATGCAAAAGAAAAGTTAATTTTGCATAAAAAAGTAAACGAAATAAATTAAAGAATTTCATTTATATTTTATACTATTTCACTAAATGTGTCACAAATTCTGCAAAAATATTATTGATTTTTTTGCTTGGAATTTAAATTTCATTAGTAAGATTCATAAACTTTTTTTCAAGACTATATTTTTAATAAAAAGAAAATAAATTCTATGCGTGTAGCACGTATGAATGATTGTAAAGATATGAAAAAAAGCTGTCTACATGATAGCATCGATATTGAAATATAATATGAATTTCCGGAACACTAATATCCGTATTTTTTGTTTACCATGAAATTGTAAATTAATTGCAAAAGCAATGAAAATTTTCTTGAAAACAAAATTGCATGAAAAATTGACCTGATTGATTCAAGTTGCTCAATTTGAACTGTATTCAAACAATGTTGAAGTTGATTTTGTCGTGACATTGAAACTTCCCTAATTCGTTCCCATTTTTCATTCACCATTAATAACTGAGAGACAATTGTCGCCGCTTCTTCTTCCTCCATTTTTTGCACCAGTTGTTGACCTCTTCAAATTTAAAAAATTTTTCAATTTTTTGTTAAACTATAAAGAAACGAAGTACCTCAAGAATTTTTGCTTATTTTAAAGAAGTAATTGCATGAAAATTTTCAGAATTATAAAAATTTTAAAACGTCAAAAAAAGAGACAAATGAGTACTTATCGGTTTAAATAATTATCATGCGTTATTCAATACATTAGATGAATTAACGGATGAATTGAGTAAATTTCACGTTTTGAAAAAAAAACCTTCGTAAAAGTTAATGCACAAATGTAACATTTTGCAAGTTGCCAAAAATTCTGTTATTTTGTTAACTTCTTTATCACACTTTTCACCAATAAAAAAAGGCGCAGCTGTCAACAACAACAACAAACAAACCTATGCAGTACTCGACCAACATCATCCTGACTTTCGGTCAATGATTGCATAAACATTTCATGCTCTTTGAATAGACTTTTCACTAACTCCACCTGTAATAAAATTCCAAAATTTGTAAAAATTTTTTGAAATAATTATACCTTTTCTACATTCACTTTCTTTGTTCTATTCGCAAATTTGAATGGGAAAATAAAGAAATTGAAAGAAATTTTTCAATATTGAAATGACATATCACATTAAATTAAATGCTTTACATTATCTTTTTCAATTGGCTTCATACAATTAGCTTGTTCCTCCGCCTGAAGTAACCATGCCAGGACATGTTCCAAGCATTCTTCATATTCAGCAACCGTTTCTTCCATCAATTTACCACGTCGTCGAGCTGATTTCTGGCTTGATGTGGAAGATTTGCGTGATTGAATTTCAATATTCTTTAAAAAAAACAATAATAATAAATTTAATCTTAATTTGCTTTATATAAATTGCAGAAACAAAAACTCGAAATGGGAAGGGAAAAGATGATAAATTGTACAGAAATATAGAAAGCAAAATAATCTCTTACTGACATGCTAAAATCTTTAATATAATCGAGTTAATTGAGAAAGAAATGGGAAGTGTGGAGAAATGTGAGAGTTCGCGGTGATGGAATTTGAAAAAGAAGCGAGCGCAATTATTTCAAGAGCACTGAAAGCTCAAATCAATTCTGCATTATTCTTTAGGTGACATTTTTCCAATATTATTGCATAAATAATCCATTTTCACCTTTATTTCTATTTATAAATATCATAAATTCGATTTCGAGTAATGACTTTCATATTTCATTTTACTTTTATTATTTATACAACTTCATTTGTTTCTTCATAACAATATATTATTCATTAAGAGTTAATTATAAACTAAGGCATGATGAAATTTCATAACTTAGATGGTCGATCAATTAAAACTAATTTTATAATAGATAGAATTATGAAATTTAGAAATTATTGATAATTTTATTTAAACTTTTGCACTCAAAGCCATCAGTGTAAAACTGTTACAAATACACTGAAAAAATTACATTAAAAAGCGAATTTATACATATTTTAGGTGCTTGTTGACATTAAAAATCAACAGTTATTTCAAAAAATATTATATTTTATAAGGTGAAGAAATAAATCTTTCAACATTTCGAATTTAAATTAATCAAAAATTCCTAAAACAAGTGAATTTTTTGAAATTTTCTTTTTTTTTAAATAAAAAATAGTAAGATGCAAATTATAAATTTTTGGATGTTTTGAGATGAAGTTTTCAGGAAATAATTTTTTTGCAAAGATTTATTGTCCAAGATTTTATTCGGCAAGAAAAATTGAGATTATCAATTCCTTCTAATTTTTGATGCCTTTTGAAATGATAAAAAAATGTCACGGGAACGAAGTGAATGAATGAAGTGAATAAAATGAAGACTCATCAAAGAATGTTAGATTAGTATCATCAAAAAACATTCATAAAATAGCTTTTTTTAATGTTTTTCAAATTTAAAATTGAAAAAATTTTTCAGATTTGACATTTGTTCCTTCGATATTTTAAAATATCTTTTAAAAAATAATAAACAATGTATTTGTAGAAGTGATAATTAAGTCATTACTAGGAAATTGGCTTTATTATTTAAAATTAGAGCAAATCTGTTGAACTCTTAATTTATCGAGCGTCAGCCATTTTCTTAATTCATTCTTAAATCTGAATTTGAAGTAGCTAAGCTGGAACTTAGAGATATAAACCGCGATCAAATTTTGAATTTTTGCATCAATACATCAGTTTTCCCGAGATATTTTCGCTACAATTATGAAATAACTATTTCTCTTGATTATATGTGACATGATGAATGTAAAAATTAGACAAACAAACCTCGGAAGTTTGCTGTGATTGTCTCCTCGATGCCGAAGCGGAAGAAGGTTGTTCCAGAAGCCTCTGTAACGGATATTCCATTTCAGTTTGAGCAGTCGCTCCCGATGGTAATACTGAATTTACCACGGGTTGCGAATCTTCATTTACAGCATCTTTTTCGTCGGCTATCATTGGACTTTGTGGACTTTTGGAAGATTCCAATGATTCTGTTGGCTGTTCAGATGGTGGTGATGGAGGTTGAGATTTCGGTGATGGAACTCCAGCAGTTAATGAGAGATAAAGTACCATTAAGTAACATACAACACTTTTCATATCCAAACGTTCACTGGAAAAATCTGAAAAATTTTTACTAATATTCTTTTCAATCTTTATGATCAGCTTAATATTTTGTATATTTCATATCAATTGTAAAATAATAAAGTGGAAGTGTCTTTCAGTAGATTAAACGAGTACCATGGAAGAAGCATGTATCAAAGTCATGATATGGTACTTACTTTCTGCTTAACAAATAATCATATAGGAAATAATTTATGAAGAAATTATTAATCCTCAAATAGACTATTCATTTTAATAAAGTGAAAATTTCGAATTGTAGATAAAAAGAACCTTTTGGTTGAAGAAGACGTGGAGTGTTAATGTCTCGTTCGACTAGACTCATCGCGTGTTCAATGCGATCAGTTGCCCGCATATCTCGAATCTGATCCATATTGAATAGATCGGGACTTGAAATAAATTTAATTAAGTTTAAAGTTATAAAATATATGCACCTTATTGAAAGTCTTCTGTTAATTACTTACTTCATAAGAGTTCTTTTAGTTACTTATTTATCTTCTTCCAGGATTAATTCGTTCTAAATTCCTCCTTTTTTACCTACTTCTTTAAGTTTAACTATCAATTTTCTGACTATCGACTTTTTTTATTCCAATCATATTCAATGATAACTGCAAAATGTTTTAAATTACAAATCAAATGCATCTCAAATTCTATCAACAAGAATTCCCTCAATCTACTTGAATGCCACTCACACTAAATTGCATTCATTATGAAGTTGTTATGTAAACAAACTAACTTATAAGACAATAAGATAGCATTTAAGGCATAGCCATCTCTCCACGATGAGATGAAATCACTAATTTGCACTCCAAATCGTTGTGCTCGTTCAACACACCAATCTTTCAGCGCTTCCGCAAGTTTCTGTTCACGAACATCAGGTGGAGCGAATCTCAAATTCAATAGAATTATTTAATTCAATTAATATATAAGCTATAAGAATTAAAAAATTTTTTGCTACTAAATGTTCGAACACTATCAAAATTTTAGCTTGGAAAGAATGAGAAACTGGTGATTATAATGAATAGTTTTTTATTTCTTTAAACTACAATAGTAAAACGCTTCATCATAAAAGTAAAAAGTTATAAAGTTAAACTACTGTTTATATTAATTAATTAGTAAAAAATTTGACATATCCATGAATATAATCTATCCTTTATAAAGCTATGGGATAGCTTGAACTGAGATGAAAATGAAATTCAAATTATAGAAAAGAATGATTGGCACAACAATTATTTGTCTTATCATCCTTGTTTAAGAATAGATAAATTTAAATTGACAAATTTCTGTTAAATTTAAGCACTGACCTTTTCCAAAAAATTTGTATCAGTTGCCAAGCGGCGGAACATATGGCTCG